TTGGAGGTAGCAAGCTCTGCATTCCTAAGAACACAAGTGTGGTAACCATCTGATGCAAGGGTTGGAAAACTTTTTCTCTAAAGGGCCAGAGAGTATATGCTTTGGACTTTGTGGACCATAAGATCTGTGTCACAACTATTTAATTGCATTGTAGCATGAAAGCAGCCATAGGCAAGATGTAAACATAAGTACTTTACTTCTGGGCATTGAAATTTGACCCTCATATCAGTTTCACGTTATGAAACATCATTCCTCTTTTGACCTTTTTTCAATCATTTAAAAATGTAAAAGCCATTGTTATTTCATAGACTGTACAAAAACAGGCCATGGACTGGATCCGGCCCATGGGATCCAGTTTGTTACCCCTTGATCTACTGTGGTCATTGTTTTTCTTCTGCATTTCTTTCTCATTGCACCATTTTATTCTTCGTTGTGCCATGTTTTGAAACCTCTCTTCCCTTTCTTTCACCTAGCTTAGGCTAAAATATTTGCAGAATCTGCACTTTTGGCACTTATGTGGCTCATCAGGGAAAGCCAGAATACCTACCTAAAAGAACCAGTAGAGCAACGTCAAATAATGCCCCTCTTCTTTTTTGTGTGTCCTGGCCAGTTCAACATACAGTTTGAATATATGAAGGTTACAGATGAACTCTGGCAAGTTGTTCTGATTTCTGCGGCATTCCAAAGCTCTAATGAGCAGAGCATGCAGCTTGAGGGATGGTGAGAGTCTGATTTTTAGATAATCAAGGATATTTATTATGCCTTGTAGTTCTGTTCCAGCATAAAATTGAGAGCTGAAGAGACATCCAGTCTATTTGGTATCATCTCTTAAACAGTTATATATCAAAGGGGTGTTCAAACTGAACACATGAAAATGTTACAGGGATGGAAATGGGAGAATTATAAACATTTTATGCTGCTCTGTCCTCACTATTTTTAAAACAAAAACATGGTACAGATTTTACATGGGGGGGTGTGTTTACAGGGAAATAATGTGCTCTATTTCATATGAAACAGGACACAAGAGAGCATTCTCAGATTTGTAACACTAGCCCTAGTCTGTGGAGCTGCCCATTAGACCTGTTCCTGGCCTTTTATTCAGGGCTGTGAAGAGGTAGGGGAGACAGAGGCTCGGCTGCCTGCGTAATGAGATTGGCTTAGTTTGCCTGGCATACAGTGATTTATGAGGGTGCTTATTGTGGGGACATCTGCCGCTGAGAGCAGCCAGATGAAAGGTGTGTGGGTGGGAGGTGGAGGAGAGCAGGGAATGGGAGAGAGGCAGTTGTGTATAGGCAGGTAAGGCTCATCTTGATTATAGTTGTTGGAATCCTGAGCTGAGTGGAGCTGTAGAATAGTGTGAAATGGTAGATTAGCAAGGCTTTGGAATTGCACAGATCTGGGTTTGAATTGCTGACTCTTCCACTTGTTAACTGGACTCTTTGGTGAGTTACTTTCCTTCTTTGAGCTTCTGTTGCTTCATCTGTAAACTGGGGATAATAACCACTTCCACTCTCCCGCTATATGAAACTGTACTATCATAAAGGTCTGGGCACAGTTCCTGTTGCACTGGAGAGCTCAGTTAGTGATAGAAATGATTAATGTTTGTTCATATGTCCATTCATTTTTTTTGTTTACCAGTACTCAATGTTCTTTGCAATTTCTAACAGAGCCTCATTTTCTAATAGATGTCTAATGGTGACTTAGACATCTGTTAGGTATCAATAGCTCTTAAGATCAGGATGGAAGAACAGGACAGTCAACATGTATTTATATATATATGTATGAACACCTAAATGGCATGTAGGAGTGTAGTAGGTACCTGAAATACGATTGAAAGAACAGTCACCTGGCTAGTAAACACAATAAAAGATACTTCACCTCACTAGTAATCAGGGAAATTACCAAAATAGGACCAAAGTAAGATACTTACTTATTTATACTTGACAAAGTGGTAAAAATGTAGAAGTCTGACAATACTAAGTGTTAAGGAGAATATAGAGTGAAGGAACACGTATGTACTAATTGTAGGAATTTAAACTGCTGTGACTGCTTTGGAGAATGATTTGTCAATATCTAGATATATGAACATGCACATACCTTATTTACTGGCAAATTCTGCTTGTAGGTATAATCTAGAGAGAGTCTTGTGTATGTTATCAAAGTGATGTGTTCCTCACTGTGTTGCTTATTCTAACAAATAGCCTTCGTGTCCATCAGTGGGGTAATTGATATACATATTAATTGAGCTAAAGCTGCATTTGGTACCAGCATAGATGAATTTTAAACAAAAGTAAGTGAAAAAAATAAAGTTGTAAAATTATTCAAATAGAAAACCATTTATGTACAGCTTGAAATCTTGGAAAATAATATTAATATATTTTTTGTGGATACAAACATATGTAATACAAGTTTGAAGAAATTAATTGGAATGATAAATATAAAATTCAGGCTGATATTAGGAGAAGAAAGAGGGATGTGATTGGAAGGGTTGCCTGGGGCTCAATCTCAACTCTGCTAGTAAATATTCACTAGCTTGTATGCCCTTAGACAAGTTTCCTAACCTCTGTGCCTCAGTTTTCTGATCTATAACATAGGAATAATAATATTATCTGTTTCATAGGGGTGCTATGAGGATTAAATGAGTGAATATAGATAAAATGCTTAGAAAAATACCTACTAGATAGTAAGTTTTATATATGTTAGCAATTATAGTGCCTATTACATGAATATTTTCATTAATATTTATTTTGAAAATCTTATATATTGCAATTTAAAAAAAAATAGATGCCATTCTTGTCTTTTGTCATCATATAGTTGGAAAGTGAACAAAGATTAAAAATACCACCAATACAGGAATTTCAGGATGTGGCATAATAGAGTTTAGCTACGTTCTCTTGACCCCTAGATTTATTAGGTACCATGCCAACAGCTTTATATGCACTTATTTAATCTTTCCCTATGGAGTAGGCACAATTTTTATCCCTATTTTACAGCTGGAAAGAAAGAGATTTATAAAGACTGACTTCCAGGGTCACACAGCTAGGCGTAGCAAAGCTGGGCAGGAACCCAGGTGAGAATGACTCATGCTCTTGACTGCTAGGCCTTAAAGCCCTACCTGGCCACTGTTCACATTAGCCACCTCCTCGACACAGATTCCTGCTTCCTTCCTTTATCAGCCTGCATAGGTTAGGTTGTGCTTTGGTTATGAACATTCCCAAAAGATCGGTGGCCTCTATTAACAAACAGGTGTTTCTTACTGTATTCATCTGTTTTCACGCTGCTTTAAGGAACTACCTGAGACTCAGTAATTTATAAAGAAAAGAAGTTTAATTGACTCACAGTTCCGCATGACTGGAGAGGCCTCAGGAAACTTACAACTATGACAGAGGGTAAAGAGGAAGCAAGTCACATCTTACATGATGGCAGGAGAGAGAAAGTGAGCAAAGGGGGAAATGTCACATTTTAAAACCATCAGATCTTTCACTGTCACGAGAACAGCATGGGGAAAATCCACTTCCATGATCCAATCACTTCCTACCAAGTCCCTCCCCTGACACTTAGAGATTACAACTTGAGATGAGATTTGAGTGGGGACACAGAACCAAACCATATTACTTACTCATGCCAAATATTCATCAAAGGTCACCTGGGTCATCAAAGGTCATTTGCCACATAGCTCCTGTCTCTGGGACCCAGAAGTCCAGCAGCCACAGTCTCCAACCTTGCCGGTTGCTATGGCAAAGGGAGAGAGATACAGAGATACAGAGTTACAGAGAGAGAGAGAGAGAGAGAGAGAGGAGAGAGAAATAGAGAGAGAGAGAGAAACTACGGAGAATATCACATTAACAGTTAAATGTACCCTAGAAGTGATGCACAACATACACTGTGATACACAGCACTTCCCCTCACACATCATAGGCTGGAGCAGTGGTTTTCAACCAGGGATAATTTTGCCCCCACTAGGGGATATTTGCCAGTCTCTGGAGACATTTTTTATTGTCACAACTCAGAGGTGGAGTGGGGGTTGGGGCAGGTACTACTGGCATCTAATGAATAGAGGCCAAGAATGCTACTCAGCACCCTCCAGTGCACAGGGACAGCCCCCTCAACACACACACAACAAAGAAGTATTTGGCCTAAAATGTCAATAGTGCTGAGACTGAAAAACCCTGGACTGGAGCTAAGCACAAGGGGCCAAAAAGCACAATTTTAAGAAGCTATAAGGGAAGAGAACCTGAAATATTTGACAGATAGCACTAATGGCCACCATGCATCCTAAGGCCTAAAAGCTGTACTAAAGCCCCTTCAGAAGGCGTTTTTCATGATAGAAGTGAACCAGTGCTTTAAGGGACAGCCATGGAATGGGATTTCTAATATAGTCAACTTCATCAAAGGGCAGAGGAGTGGCCTCAACTCACTGAAGTTGACTACTGCTTTCCTCAGCAGTCTCTCTGGAGCAGCACTGTCCAAATGTAGTACAATAAAGGTCACATATGTAGTTAAAAAATTTCCAGTATCCACACTAAACAGGTAAAAAGGAGCGGGTGAAATTGATTTTAAAGGTATAATTTATTTAATTCAATATATCTAAATTATTATTTCAACATGTAATCAGTATAAAAATATTGAGATACTTTATATTCTTTTTTTTTTGCACCAAGTCTTTGAAATATGTTGTGTGTTTTATATTTACTGCACATTTCAGTTGAGACTAGCCATATTTCAGGTGCTCAACTGTCACACATGGCCAGTGGCAGCAATATTGGAGGTTTCTGTACCTGGGACTCAGTGAAGGACTGACCTAGGTCTCCCCTGAGAACCAGTAGCAATGCTATAACTCAGAGTCTATAAGTTCTGAGAGCGGGACACAATTTCCAGGAATATCTGTCCCAGACTCTTAAAGACAGTCTGTGCATGTTTTAAGAATTAAGAAGGATTGGTTTTCCATGGATTCTCTGCCATCATCATTTTTTTGTTTGTTTTGTTTTTGTTTTTGGCAGGTGCCTCATCTCCAGACATGGAGCCCAGCTATGGGGGAGGTCTCTTTGACATGGTAAAAGGAGGTGCAGGGAGGCTCTTTAGTAACCTAAAGGACAACTTGAAAGACACCCTCAAAGACACATCTTCTAGAGTGATACAATCTGTGACCAGGTACGCACATTCTTCCCCGTTAATTTAGTGGATCCCCATGCTCTCAAAGGATCTGGTTACCTGCCGTCTGCTTGTCTGGCTCAAAGAGTGTCAATTTTGGGATGTAATTTTATGGGATCTGATCAACTGAGAAATGTCATTGAAGACATAAAGTTAAGTCCTTTAGAAGCTATAATCACAGACTGGGAGGACTCAGTTCATTGCCACATTAGAGCATAACAGTTGCCCTCCCTGTCTTTACAATCAAACATCTTGGGTTCTAATGCAATATCTGCCCTTGTTAACTAAGAGCCCTCAGACAAATTAATTAACCTCTCTCAGTTTTTTTTGAGCTTTTTAAAAATACCCTGACAGGATTTGTGTCTTTGGGTTGTTTAGGGATTAAATGAGATTAAAATATACATACAATCTGAATAAGTGTTACCTATGGATTGTAATCAAATCAGAACTTGGTTTTTGTATCCTACTAGCCCTTTAACATTTATTCAGTGAGAGAAGTTTTCTATGCTTCCAGTGTATGAAAATTCTCATAAGCAGGTCATAGGAGTTATTTTTTATTATTAAGTATTAGAAAATTCTAGGGTCACTTTGAGTTATAATATGCAGTTCTAAATCAGAAATTCAAATGTCAAGTCCAATATATTAATCAAAATTTTAATCTTTGTTAAAATATAAAACTACTCTTACCTCTGATTCTCAACCAGGGTCTGGTAGGCAGAAAAATGGTGTCATTTATTTTTTCTCAACCACTTCTTCCCCTACGCCTTAGCCACTTACAATTATGGAAGATATTTCCATGTAGGCAAAGAGGCTAGAACAATTGGTGTTGATAAATAAGCAGAGGTTTCTATTCTGAGATTGATTCAGATCATGAAGTGGCATCTACAAGGGCATTAGAATGCACCAGTTGGAGTGGCATATTTATTCCCCTGAGGTCATGGGCTGTCTTTTCTCAGTGATTCTTCCTTGTTAGAGAGAAGGGCTGGAGGGTAGTCAAAACTTGCCCCCTAGACAGCAGTGTCCCAGTTCATATGCGCAAGTGATTGAGAGAGAGAAATCTTGGCATATTTGGATCATTTTAATGAGTGCCCATTTTTGTCTTGCTTTTAGCTACACAAAGGGAGATTTAGACTTCACTTATGTTACCTCCAGAATTATTGGTAAGTTTCTCATGTTTATTAACAGTGCTTTGGCTCAGCTTCCAGTTGCTGCCCATCATTACAGCAGACCTAAACATTTAACCTGTTTTCTGTCTGTGTGATCTCTCTCCTAGTGATGTCCTTTCCTCTGGACAATGTTGACATAGGATTCAGGAATCAGGTTGATGACATTCGAAGCTTTTTGGATTCCAGACATCTTGACCACTACACAGTATACAATCTGTCACCTAAGTCTTATCGAACTGCCAAGTTTCACAGCCGGGTAAGGATTTTTAGCCCTGAGATCATACTGTTGAAGACGTGATAGTGTTTTTCGTCCTCAGAGATAACCTTAAAGCATATGCCCTTAGGCATCTGAAGCTGAAAAACCATACACTCTGGACACTTCTGTCCACAAAATATTTATTAGACTGCTATGAGATAGCCTAAAGATTTTCCTTGGGTGAGGATACTTACAGGAAAGTGTATCTGTCAATGAAATACCATTGAAGCTGGGGTCTCAAGTCTGTTGGTGCCTGGTTGTTCCATGGCACATTGTTCATGAGGCTTAAGTTGGAGGTTGAACTGCCGCTAGCGCAATTGGCTGCCTTCATGCCGATACACTGCTTATGCCTTTGACTCTTCTTTATTGCTACTTGGTATCAAGATGAGGCAGTGTGGATAGAACAGTACCAACAAGTATTAATGGGAACGTCTTTCTATTAATATATTTTAAAAAGTTTTTTGAACTAGGCAGGTAAACATTCCTAGTTTCAGCCTGGTTAAGGAACTGAGAATTGGCTTCGGTTTGAATCTGATATCGAGCCTGATATTTCTGGCCACTGAATTCTGACTTACTCACTAAAAAAAGGCATTTTTTTCCCCCTCTCAAGAACATCTCTAAATATTTTTGACTTAGCCTTTACATATGATTGGTTCTGCAACTTCATTTGGGTCTATTAATAAATAGAATGGACTTTCTATGCATGGATCCTTTAAAAGTGAAACTTGATATCAAGTATGAAAAACGATAGCTGGCTGACAATGCTGTGTATCTAGGATCTCAGCTTTGATGCTGGAACACACACTTTGTTCCAAATTCCAGTTACCCTTGGTAATATCTGGGCCTCAGTTTCCAGATCTGTAAAACACACAAGAAAATTGGTATACATGCTTTGTAAGGCTCCTTCCTGCCGTAATATTCAATAAGATATGGGAGAGTTTTAAGGACCTCTTTTTCAGCGTGTTCTGAGAACAGTCTCAAATTTTGGTGTGCATCAGAATCACTTGAAGACTTCTGATTCAGAAGGACAAGGGAGGCATATGAATCTGCATTTCTAACAGCTTCCTGGGGGCTGCTCCTGATGTTGCTGTGGGGACCACTCTTTGATAAAGCACTGATAATGCCATTCTGAAGTGGTTTGATCTAAATTGCCATTCTATAATGAAGATTTTAAATGCATCTCTTTAAAATCTTCTGTAATAAAATAATCTTCCAACTCTTACTCCATCTATTAGCTAATTCAGAACAAGTGAATTAACATCAAACAAAAATGTGGATAGATATTTTGTTCTTAATGTAAGGCAAATCTTTTAAATTATTTTTCTTGTTTGGAGGTTAAGTCAGTGCCATTATTTTCATAATTTAAGGACTGTGGAACATCCTATGTAATATTTCATAGAAATTTTATTTGACCTTGAAAGATCTGTGATAATCTGGAGCATTTTTCCTCTGAAAGTAAATAAAGATATAATACCATTATAGAAGCATTTATACATATAAATATGTCACTTTGTATAATATTTATAAAAGGCACTCTCTGTAAAGATGTTTTTAATGAAAGGCATCCATCAGTGTAACTAAAGATTTTGTGACTGGACTTAATGGTTTACCAAAGGAATCAGAGATTACATATTTAATCTCTACCCTGGGCTGCTCTTACTTTCCCTAGAAGAGGAGGGAGCTTTTTTTTTTGATACCTAGAACAGTGCCTGACATAGATAATCAATGTTTTTTAAAAGCATGAATGTGCAAATAATTGTTAAACACTATAGATATAAAATAAATACTTGGTTTGTGTTCTCGAGACACCTAAGCCTAGTTGGCGAGAGAACCCAGGACATTCTAAAGATAAGTACAAATAATATTTACAATACCTGCCAAGGGAGATTAGTAAAGGGAGACACCAGTGACAGCTGGACCTTAGAGCAAGAGAAAGGCTTATATAGGTCAGAGGAGTGGGGCCATTTCTTGCCTATACAAATCGTAAAATATCTTGTGAGGCTTTTGATGATCTAGCCTCTATCTGCTTCTCTAACTTCATCTTTTACCGTTCTTCATTGAGCCAAAACCATATGCTCCAACCAGGGATATGCATGTGCTCATGTGCACACAGACACACACAATCTCCTTGCATGAGCTACTGTTTCTCCCTTAAAAGCCACCCGTGTCATACATCCTTCATCTCTCCCCTCCCCTGCCCTCCCTTCCCCTTGGCTCCTCTTTCTCTCTCTCTCTCTTTCCTTCCTTCCTTCCTTCCTTCTTTCTTTCTCTCTCTCTCTCTCTCTCTCTTTCTCTTTCTTTCTTTCTTTCTTTCTTTCTTTCTTTCTTTCTTTCTTTCTTTCTTTCTTTCTTT